CCGCCACCACCACCACCACCGCCGCCGCCCAGGCGGCGCAGTATCACGTTGTAGTGGGTGCCGCAATAGCCGTCGCAGCCGTCCTTGGCCCTGTTGCTGCACCCGTTGTCGACGCCGGGGCACAGCAGCTCAGCAGGCGCCGCGCTGGCCGAGGCACTGCGGCTGGCGCCGACACTGCCGCCACCACCGCCGCCGCCCAGGCGGCGCAGTATCACGTTATAATGTGTGCCGCAATAGCCGTCGCAGCCGTCCTTGGCCCTGTTGCTGCACCCGTTGTCGACGCCGGGGCACAGCAGCTCAGCAGGCGCCGCGCTGGCCAAGGCGCTGCGGCTGGCGCCACCACCACCGCCGCCACCACCGCCGCCCAGGCGGCGCAATATCACGTTGTAATGTGTGCCGCAGTAGCCGTCGCAGCCGTCCTTGGCCCTGTTGCTGCACCCGTTGTCGACGCCGGGGCACCACATTGTTCACGTGATAGGCTGCAATATCTTGTGAGAAGAGGTGTGTCATTGCAGTGTGGCAAAGTAGGATAGTGAAGTAGAACCAGCACCACTTGCCAACGCCTGTGCCTGGGCATGTGTGCTGATAGGCTGCACTGAGCGGCAGGCTGGCAAGCAGACTGCCGGCGGGGGCGTCCCAAACCCTTCCATCCCAACCAACCTGTGTGTGTAAGAGGGAGGGGGGCGCGTAGGGTGAAGGAGCCACCCAGAAGTTCAGTCTGTGTCCAGCAAGCCGTATGTGACCAGCTTGTCCGTGTCCGCGTGTGTATGCTCTTGCGGTGACCAAGCGGTACGCGGGGAAGTGGGCCGCTGGCGCCGCGTTCTTGTAGATCGGTCTTTCTGCGTTTGAAACTCAAGTATGTGATACACCACGACGCCCGAAAGGCTCTGACCCGCTCTGGGGATGCTCCGGAAGGCCGGGGACTGCCTAGGACACCGACAGCATGCAGCGCCGTTTGATTGTGACATAAACTCCCAAGTTTTCAATTACCTTTGCTCTTACAGACAGATCTCGTGCCCTGTGGTAGGCCGCTGGAGCAGAGGGGAGTGGAGTGAACAGGCTGCAATCTCTTGAAGATCGGTATTTCGGCGTTTAGTAATCAACTATTCAGTATAACACGAGGCTTGAAAGTCTCGGAGCCGCTTTGGGGATGCTCTGAGGGACTGCCTGTGGCGGTTTGCAGAAAGAAACTGACGAGGATCCGACCCACCAGCTTCCCCTGCAGCGGGCTCCAAGCGCCGCCGCTGCCTTGCACCGCGCCCCAAGGCCTGCTGCTGCTGCTGCTGCTGCTGCTGGTGGTGGTCCTGCTGCTGCTGCTGCTGCTGCTGCTGCTGCTGCTGCTGCGGACTGCCAGCGCTAGCGTGGACTGCCAGCGAGTGATGGGTCTTCAATGACCGCAGGAATCAGCGCAGCGGGCACCGTCCGCTCAGGCGTATGCAACAGCCTGGCGAGACAGGCCTCTGGACAGTGTGTGAATGAGGGCACCCGAGCCGCCATGCTCTCTGACCCAAACATGCGCCTCGCAGACTCCCCAAGCACCCCTCACGCGCCACTGCCTGGCATCTGGCACATGCAAAATGATGGAGCGTGGGTGACTCTCAAGGAGCGCCGGCCCTGCTGGACCAACACAGGCCATGCGGTTGTTCCAGGGCGACTGCGACTCCGGGGCTCCACTCTCACCACAGAGTCTTGTGCGTGGTAACAGTGGTTCCATCGTGCCTTCCTTGCAGGCCGAAGCCCAACCTCCCAGAAACCATGTGCGCGAGAGATTTGCAGCCACGGGCGCAACCCCCCCCCCCCCGTGGGGCGGCCCACCCGCCATACATGCCCGGCTGCCCGGACCGAGCCTTGGGGCTGCTGTGTTTCCGCCTGCCGCAACAGTAACAAATTGACGGCATAGACTGCATGTGATTGTGCAATCCTTTTGAGCATGTGGCACGCTTACACGGTGTATCCCGTTGCATATAGCAAGCACTCTACGGGCGAAGGCCGGCGTACGCCAATACATCGGCTTCCCCCACCCCCAGCAGCTCTGCGACTTCCCGGTAGCTTCCCAGCTCCACCTCCCCAAAGCCATCAAACGGCCACGGCCCCGGCGGGGGGCCTTGGCCGTCTCCTCTATGTGTGGGGCCGTCGGCGGTGCCTGTGGCGGTGCTGTCCTCTAAAATGTCCATCAGGCGCTCCCGACACTGGAAGCAGCAGACAGTGTTTGGCGGGAGGCGGACACGGGGGCCGATGATAGTAAAAAAGAGGGCCACTTTTGCATACAGCGCCAGATGGCACCGTTGGAGGGGCGCCGCGGTTGCCCAAGCCTCATGGCTGCGCCCGACGCAGAGCGAACCCCCCTCAGCGAACGCGCGTCGATGGCAGCTGCAGGCAGCAGCTCTTCCGGCGTCACCCATGAGCCCGCCGCAACCCCTGGCAGGCCCGACTGGCCCCGGGCCCCACGCAACGCGAGGAGGCTGGGCCGCCACCTTCGACCCTCCCCTTAGCACTTACACACACATACACAACCACACACACACACACACACACAGGCAGAATTACCCCCCCCCACACACACACACACAAACACACTCACCCACAACCACGCACACGTACACGCACCACACACACACACACACAACCACGCGCGCGCACACACACACACACCTTGCGGCCCGCCGAGTCCACATCCACGATCTCGGTGCGGGCCCTCAGCAGGTACTGGGAAACTGCCGCGCAGCTGCCCCGCAGCGCGATCAGGATAAGCGCGTGGCAGAAGACCACGCGGCCTGCGGGCGCGCGGGCGGCGCGCGGCGTTTCGACCGGGCAGGGGTGGTGTCAATCAGAGCAGCAAAGCGGCAGTGTTCAAGCGTGCTGTTCTGGGACTGTCCTGGGATGTTCGGCTTGCGTGCTGGGTTTTTGGTGCCGGGCAGTGTTCCATGGGCAAAAGGCAGGGAGTACGCCTGCACGGCAGGAAATCGACAATGCACTGGAGCAAACCGTTGATGGGTCTGAGCATTTGACAAACTCCTTTTCGGGTGGCGCACCCGAGAGTCCGAGCTCCTTGCACCATCGGCGGATGGTCTTAGTGTACATGGGCCTGGCGGGGGCGGGGTTCAGAGTGCAGGGTTACGATTTTGGGGGCGCAGGGTCCAGGTTTAAGGTTCAGGGTTCAGGGTTCCGGGTGTCGGGTTCAGGGTTGAGGTGTTGCTCAATCAGCTGAAGTTGGGGTGGGCTTGAAGAGTGGGTGGGAAAGACTTGAGCTGGACTTCCGGTTTAACGGCAGCTGCGTTGGCAGCGGTTGCAGCTGCAAATCGCCCCTAAAGCCGGCCAGGTGCTGGGCAGCCGGGTCCCCGCTAGTATAGTTTACGACTGGTCACAGATGGCGGTCTGGTCCATGAGCCACAACAGCCGGCTGCAGGCATGGAACGAATGGCACGTGCTTGGCGCCGCCGCAACGACGGGCCACGCCGATCGAGGGCAAACGCATGGCGGCGCCTTGCCTAACCAGCGCTGCGCTCACGTCATTATAAAGCAGCGCTGGACCCCCCCCCCCCCTGTTTCTCATGTGGTCGAGCCGCAGCAGCACCCGCCTCTCCCCCCCACCGCCGCCGCCGCCGCGCGCGCCCACTTCCGGCCCGCCACCCTTGAAGGGCGGATCCGCCGCGGCCGCATCTGCGGCTGCGCTGGGCCCTCCCTGCTGCTGCTGCTGCTGCTGCTGCTGCTGCTGCTGCTGCTGCTGCTGCTGCTGCTGCTGCTGGCTGGCGTTGGCCCCAAACGCCGCGAGGCCCTCTCTGAGAGCCTCAGCCAGCTCATACAGGCACTCCAAACCCGCGCCGCCGCCCTGAGGTTTCAGAGGCAAGACGCGCGTTGCAGCACGCGGGTCATCTGCGGCACTCACCATCAGAACCCGTGGCCACACACCAGACAGCATGCTGCTGTTTGCAAAGAACACATGCACCCTTTTTCTTGCTCAGTGTCAACATGCCTGCAGACAAGCAGCGCGCCAGGGGCTGAGCGGCACGCGAACAGAAAACCCCACCCCGGCCCTGTCACGACTTCACCTCCCGGCTCGCCTCCTCTGCCCGCCGCTGCAGCGCCGCCCCGAGGTCGTCCAAGGTTGTCCTAGGCAGGTCGTGCGATCCGAGGTGCACGCGTGCCGCTTCGGAGGGGTACCCGGGGCCGAGGGAGAAGTGCAGGGAGGCGGTGCGGCCGCCTTCGCTGGTGTGTGTGGGAGGGTGTGGAAGGGGGGTTGTGCGTGGAAGGGGGCCTGAGCACGCGTGCTCTGGATCTTGCATGTGCCCGTTGAGGAGATGAGCCTCGGAGGGAAGGTCCGGAGGAAAATCAAAGGAAAGATATACCGGGAAGTTATGGTGCTGTGGGTCCCTCCTGAAACGGATGGAGCGCGCCTGAAGTTGCTAATGCCTCCTGACAAGCGCGCGCCCAGCTGCCATGCGAGCCAGCCCGTGCCGTTGGGTGCTAACTTGAGGGCGCTGGTGGCGGCGCGGCAATGCGTCCCTGCACCGCGGCGCTCCAGCAGCCCTACACACGCCGCGGCCTCTGAAGAACTTAGAATCAGGATCCTACAACCCCAAAAATCACCTCATGCCGACAACGCCTGAGCAGGTCAAGCAGGCGAGCGCGAGCGCATCAGGACAGCCCTGGGGAGGATTTGGGCGTGGGGAGGCGGCAGGTTGGGCCGCGGCACCACTGATGCAAGGGCTCCTGATGCAAACTGGGGCCGCTGCCTTTGGATCGCGGGCGCATCGGGCAGCCGCTCAGTCCCCTTGCACACTGAAAATCCCAACCCGCCTTTAAAGGCGGGAAAGCAAGCGGGACGCGCCTGCAGAACGAGTGAGTGGCGGAGAGAGTCGACAAAGTCGAGGCTGGGATGCGGGCCGCCGCGGTACGCCTGCGTTGACGAAAGGACGAACAAAAAGCGCACCTGGCAGTCGCCGCTTTCCAGGGAGGCCGCCGCCGCAAGGAACGCGTCGCTGCACTGAGGGGGTGCCGGGTGGCGGCGGGGGGGGGGG